CCTCCACCAATTTCTAGGGAGGCTTGTCTCCTCTAAGGCCTGTTCTAGTTGGTTTCAAAGGGACCCGCCTGCCCTAGTTGTCATCATTTGACCAAGATTTACATGTTGCTAATATATAATGAGAAGTTTTTTCTTTTTTCCTTTTTATATGCAAATAGGAATTTTAAAGCAAGAAAATTTTGCAATCAGAAGTTACAATTATTTTTGGCTGATGAATTAGAAACATGAATATCAGTACATGCAATTACGAGAAAAAACTTGATTTCCCCAGAAAGATTATGAGAGGCTCATATATGCAGAAAAAACTTGATTTCCCCAGAAAGATTACGAAATGACTATTCAGCTCAGTGCAAAGCGACCAAAAAAAACATAGCATTACCTCTGAGAACCTTTAGCCGTTTACTACATCTTCTCTGAAAGAATGTCAAATTTACAAATAGACACACCCAAAGAAAGCCATACATAGAACAAGGTTTCATGCGTGATTGTTTAAAGGAAATTAAGACTATACATTACACTGAGTGGAGTAAAAGGAAAAGGTGTCAAGCCTCCATATCAGAACGAATTGGAAATTCCAAGCCTCGAAGTGCAGGAATTTTCTCCAAATCCTCCTTCGAAAACAATGGGAAAAGCCACAGTGCTGCCTTTGTCCCGAATACCTTAATGGAGAAAAGAACACGAGACACAACATCAATATAAGATCTAAATATGAGACTAGATTCTGTCATTGTAGCAGATACAGGGACAAATTTCCACGAGAGGATGCAACAAATGTATTCAGAGGCATCGAGTTCAAATAAAATCCCAGAATAACATTGTGGTGTCTTGTTTTTTCTTTCCCCCTCTTCACAGAGGAAACCAGTAATATGTCCGTTTCTGTTTCCATCACAAACTGCTGCCTCCTGATTCAGCAAGGGACGTAAAACTATGCTTTTTCCCCAAATAATATAAAATCGTAGCAAACAAATAGAAGTAGAAATATTTTCACAACAAACATATAAGATGATTCTTAATCCTACAGATGTGAAAATTATTATATATTAGTGAGGGAACAATTCAAGATGGCATATGCAAATGTGTATTACCTGCTCAAAATTTTTCTTCTTTCCTAGGTCATACTTCCATTGACTTGCTCTTCTCTTCTCGTGAACCTGAAAATGTAATAGTGAATGAGCACCTTTGCAAGTAAAAAGGGAAGACTGGCATCTGCAGAGCTAAATAAGACATGCAGGTCTCCATAACCACTGACTGAAATTAGTATAAGAATGTTCTTTATCTTATTTGTGGTTTACTTAAATTTGAGGTTACAATGATGCACGCTTGAAAGAATGTAATAAGAATGTTCTTTATCTTATTTGTGACCAATAATCCAGCTATTCTAATTCCACCAAGTAACAGACATCTTGCACTTGTGGGAAAAGAGTAACAAAATAGAGAATGATAGAGGAATAAATGAGGTTAAAACAGCAATCACCAGATGGGGCCTGGAGGAAAAATTGATAATCCAATATGAAGCAGAACAATTAAAGACAAATAAAAAACAAGTGAAGACTTAAACCTCATTACCTCAACTGATGTTGTGTTGCTCATCAGGAGAGATGCATGCATAACTACGAAACAAAGAAGACTGAGTGCGAAGGCTAAATTAAGAACTGCATCAAGGTAAAGACACATAAAAAATGTTGGAAAATGGAAGGGTTAAGTTTAATATTATAGAAACATAAACTGTAAACCAGCTGAGTTTCTTACCAAAAGCTAAAAAAAGGATTACAAGATTGGCAGGAGAAGAACCGGTGTGGCTCTTAGCTTCATCAAAAAATTTGATAAAACTAGGCAGCAAAACAAGTGTATCCATTGTTGTCTCCAAGAATGTGTAAAGCTTGGGGGGAAGCAGGGGGCAAGTAGGTTAACAAAGAGATTTCACTCAGCTATATATATATATATATAACACACATACATACATATATACAATATAATTTTCTACAAGCTTTATAATCCGAGCCAAGTCTTGTATTATACATTGATTATAAATATGAGAGAAATCTATTTTGCTAAACATGATAGGACAAAACGATTTTGAACTTCAGTTATTATAAACTTCAAGAAAGGAAATCACAAAATAGAAGACGAAGCAATTTCATATGCTTGTTTCATTTAAAGATTATATCGATCTTCTTCTGGCGAGCTTACAAAAGAATAAATAACCAAATTAACCATCTCTAAGGAGTTACATGTGACACCAATAAACAATCTTTCATCTTTACCAATGCAACTACTCCATATTCTGTGCACATTCCAAAAACAACAACCTTATCATGCTGAGTTCAGTAAAATGTAACGGAGACCAATAACTCTACTTCCATATTTCCATGGATTTTCCATGCGCTACAAAAAAGGGTAAGAAAAAATACTAAGACAAAAAAAACGTCTGTAGCTAGCAGCCAGGAGGTGGGTTGAGATTTTACCAAGAAAAGAAGAAAGAATTTGTAGTTTCGTGCTCCAACACAATTAACCACCCAAATACAATGATGATCCATCTTAAGAACACATCTTTGACCTACAGATCATTATAGCAACATTTAAGTGCCTTCAATAATAAGTAAATATTAAGAGTGAAGTAACATTCATAAATAAATCGAGAGAAATAAATAGAATCCATGGGGTGGTGTGAACAAATAAAGAGATGCAGGAATAGTGTTGGAGTTGAGTAGCATACAAACGGAGCAATGATGACAGCGTGGTGGTTTTCCATTTTGGCATCGACGACAATAGGTCGTGGGTCTTCTCCCGGCACCATCTAAATCCATTGGTGCCTGTTCCGGCAATGACGAACTACCAGCCTCCATATTCTCTGCTTCACTTGCCAAAGTCCAATTTTCCGGTACGGAACCAGGATCTTCAAGGAGTACCATAAAGTAGCTCCACGACAAGAGTAAAAGCTGCAGAGTTCACACAGTTTGTCTCAATGTCAAAGTTCCGCCCATCAGAATAAGCATCATTGTGCATCTAACTGAAAAATGTATGATCCCATTTGTAGAGGCTTCTACAGCGGAAAATCCTAAGATGAAAACATACTACGAAATGCAACCAGCTTGGACTCTACTATTTAATGGATGAACAGCTAAGTTCAACAAACGCGAACAGTTCACTTCTAAGGCACTTAGACTCGTTTGAAGTTAAATACTCCAAATGAAAACTGAAATTCTAGTAGAATAACCCAAAAATTCGAAGTGTATAGAATCAGTACCAGAACATGAAACAAAATGATGATAGAGAAGGCGAGGAAGGAGTCGAAGCCGCCGACGAGTAATTTGGGACCCCAGGTGAGCACTACGACCGCATCGTAGGACACTGCAACAATGGCGAAAACCAAGACAATCATGAAGTAGCCAAGGAACTTGAGGCCCGAACAGAGCTTGAAAGGGTTGATAACTTCCATTCTTTGATTGAATTGCCGACCAAGGCGAAGAATCGGAACAATTGGAGCAGATCTTCTGCTTCTTGGCGCGAAAAGTCGCTTCCAGATATCGGACGCCAGATTTAACTCCGTCCCTTGATTAGCAATAGCGTAGAACTTCCTCTGGAGAAATTAAAGAAGTCCCCAACAGCGGGAAGAGATCGAAGCGTGTTCAAGTGGGGAAATTAGCTAAATTTGCGTAGCATTTGAGACTCAATTCGACTTGTTCTCAGTTTGTACGGCTTGAAATTAGGTCTAAATTTGCAAATTTTCGACAACCCTAATTGATTTAATTATAGGTGATAGTTATTAAAAGAAAGGAATGGTTTTGGAATGAAGCAGAAAGATGGTAGAACGAGAGGAGAAGAGAGGAAGATTTGAAATGAATGAAGTTGGGAAGGGTTATATTATAATCAAACACTCGCATCTGTATTATTACAACTCTGTTTGTTTACACAAACCCCACTGCAAACAAACCCCACTACAAACAAACCCCACTACAAAGCACAAGCAATCCACTCCCTTTCTTCCTCATTTCCTAATACTTACAACTTACAACTCCAAAACTTCTACTCTTCTTGCTCGACTTGCTCAGCTGAAACACAGGGTGCCGGCATAGCTTCCTCACCCCTTTTCTCAGACTTAGCCACTCACTTGTTTCATATCCTCCTTCTCTGCACCCGCTTTGTAATCCCCCGACTCCGTATCGAATCGGAGTACTTCTTCCAGAGGCCGAATGGTATTGTTCTTCTTCTTCTTCTTCTTCTTCGTCTTTCTCTTCAAAGCTTTCAAATTTCCCTCCAGAACTGTAGTCAACTCTATCGAAACTTGCAGCGTTTGCAACCGAATTTGGCGGTTGCTCGGTGGATTTGCCACTGGTTGAGTTTGAAGATGTCCTATTGATCTCGGGGTTAGGAGTATCCAAGCAAGAAGATGGCTGCTTGCCTTCTGATTCTTCCCTTTCTTGGAGTATCTTAAGAATAAGGGTCTTCAACAAATTCATTACTTGTACAGCATGAATTAGTGCAGTCAAAGGATCAGCCATCTGCACCAAATTCATAGAATTGCTTTTTAGTTCACAAGAGTAGAGCTATATTTGTGATATTGCTAGCCTACTAGAAAGAGATTATCATCTACCCCGCCACACACACACACACACACCTGAGTCATGTTTGGTGCAAAAACCATAGCAATGTTGCGTGCATTCATCTTGTTGTGTGTCTCCTGTTGCACAACATCTGCCATCAAATTGATAGCCCAGTCAAGGATAGCAGCTTCCATGGGAGGGAGTAGCTTAACAAGTTGAGTGCAGTCTTCCTCTGTGTTGCAATGCATCACTTGCTCTGGGGTTAGTGTATCAAGCACCCCTGTAGGGAGCTCTCTAAGCCATGCCTGTAGATGACACAAAAACTACCCTAATAAGATCATACAAAAAAATGGTGAAAACAAGAAGCCATGAATATCAATTTGCTTCGCAGATCCAAATTTGGGAGTAAACCTTAAACAAAGGAAGGTTGATGATATCAGTTAAAAGCTTAACTATGAAAATACCTTGATCAAGCCTGCTAAACAGTGAACATCGATGCCTCGTGGCACTATGCCACTGTTTAGTTGAGTTCGAACAAACTCTTCCTGACTATTCTCAGCATTTATTCGAAATATTCCTTCTGCCTTCAAAAGTGACAAAAAAATGGTTATAAGTTTTGGAATAGTGAAGTCAGCAAGCTAGATTATTGTACCAAGGGTGATTGATACACACCTTTAGACCTCCCTCTGAATACAGCCGTTTTTGCATCATAAGAAGGATTGTTGGCACACTATTTCCTCTATCATCAAAAGAACACTGCATTGAGTTTGCAGAAACTCCGAACACGCTAGCACTGGATCACAAGCATGCAATTGAGAATTATGAGTAATTACTTAACATAGAGGGAAGTGTGAACAGATTTCAAATTGACTTAACAATGTTTAAGTTGAAATAGGTGTCCTGTTTGAATTAGAAGCATCCATCCTTCATGAATTGCTCTTACTCTTGCTCAAAACTCCTTATCAGTGAACCAACATTAACAGCCAATCCACTTTCCCCATATCTCACTACAAGTGTTCAAAATTTTGCATATAAGGTCTCATAATCCAAAGAAAGTTTAATATTATTCCCCTCCTCAGTAAAACCAAGCTCAGAAAGCCGAGGATTCTTTGGATGTCATACATGATAAACATTGTGAGAGAGAAACACAACACATGGACATTCCGTGTCCTGGTTGTAGTGCTGGAGCTTATTCAACTAAAAGGATGTGCAAAGCAGATTCTATGTTTGAGGAAAGGCACTCTAAAGCAACCGGCCCTCTTTGGAACTTTGGAATGCCTTCCAAACATCACCTGTCGTGGTCCCTCAAAAGTTGCAGCTTCACATCTACCTTTGAGATCGCACGTATTTCAAGAAACCTCGAGAGACAGAGATATGACATATGGTAAAAGTGAAATGCAAAACATGAAACCTAAAATTCAAAGCTTCCAAATGATTTCAATACAAAGAAAAAGAATGGGCAATCCACGAAAATCAATGGAAGCCAGTAAACTATGAGTTCCCCTCTTGGATTTCCCCGTTTTTGCCTTCAATTTGACCAAAGTTTTCAGAACTCCTTCAAACCCCTAAAAGAGTAACTTATTTCCAATTTAACGACAATCCCATTTCCAAAAACAGTAACCCGAATTCTTTGCAGAGAAGAAACGAATTTCACAAAAGAGCTCACCTGGCGCTAGGCACTCTGGTTGGCACCTCAGGCTCGAATTCTGAAGGCAAACCCAGAAACCCATTGAACCTATCAAACGTAACATGAGAAACATGCCTCACATTCACAGGCGAGCTAATATCCATGGAACAAACTTCGTCCGTTTCCACACTGCAAACCAAGGATTTCCTCAGTGCCGTCACCAAAATGTCAAGTATCGGAAACTGACTCCCATTATTACTATGCGGCGTAGCTCCCTCCTGCTTGTCCTCATCACTATCAGAGACCGAATTCGTCAAAACCAAGGCATACCCATTTTCATTTACCCCATCTCCATAGTAATCGTCCTCTTCTTCCTCCTCCTCGTCTTCTTCTTCCTCCTCCTCCTCATCGTCACTATCATAATAAGAGCTCGGCGGCGGAGGAGGCGGCTTGAATTCCGGAACTCTGACGTGTCCGCACGATTTGGATCGAAATAAGCGAGTCATTTGTGATAGTCGCTTGAAAACAAATTGTGGGTTGTGTTTGGTTTGTTGAGAGAAGAGGGTTTGATTTGGTTGAGGGGGAGGGGGAGGGGGAGGGGGAGGCGGAGAGGAAGAGGATGATGATGGATAGATGAATGAATGAAAGAACAAAAAAGACTTAATGGGGGGAGGGAGAGAGAAGAGAGGAAAGGGGAATGAATAAAGACAAGTGGTTTGCAAATGAGTGTGGAATTTGTTAAATTTTGTTGGTGTGATTAGGTTTTGGAAGCTTTATCCCTGTTTTTGGTATACATGACAGAGTGGAAATGGACATGGAAATGGAGGGGAAGAAAGATAGATAGATAAATAGATAGACATTTGGAAACGGGACCCTTTTTGCTTCGAATCATTGCCACTTCTCATGTGCCACTTCTCATGTGTCTTTGATTTATGCCGCTGTACACTCCCCCAAGTGCAAACCTGTTGACTGTGTCATCAATGCCTGTCAGCTTACCACTTCAGAATTACTATGCCCTTAACTAGTTCACATTTGTTTAATAAAATTGTAGGTGAATTTGAAGATGGAAGTTTAGAATAAGATATTATATTGAGGGGGGAAAATGCATAGTGGATATGAAAGGGGGAGGGGGGGATTTTGTGTGGTAAAAAGGGGATTTGGATTTATTATGAAATAATGTGTGTAATTATGTATGGTTAATGAGAGTGACATGGGCACATGGGGTTGTGGTCCTTTTGGACCCTTCCATTGTTCCCAACTCCAAAACCCTAACTTTAACCCCACAACTACCATTACTCCATTACTCATTAATTAATTAACCTAAGCTTTATAGTCATTCTACATATAGTAACAAATAACATTAACCTTTTTTTAAAAAAAAAAAAAAAAAAAAAAAAAAAAAATGGGAAGTGGGGTAGAGTAGCAATTAGTAGACACATGACATTAAATATAAAATGATATAGACACGTGAAGCGGGCCGGAAATGTGAGGGAATACAGTTACCCGTCAGTCCTCCGCCACCGCATGATGCGGTCCCTCTCCAAATTTGCAAAAGCGTTGTATAATTTTGATTATAAAAAGAAGAAAGAAAGAAGGAATTTGTTAGGTTGGAGAAAATAATGGATGATAGTTTGATAATGATATTGCACTGAAAAAATGTAACGCTTTTGGGAGAGTTTGTCCCTTGTAGCATCCACCCAATTCATACCTTAAACCTAAGCTTCTAAATTTAAATAATAAATCAAACTCCTTTAATTAGGTAAAACCAAACAATGATTTTGTTCCCCTTGCTTCTACCCAACTAAACCATCATTTTGTTCTTTTATAATCCATTCCAAGCAGAGCTACAATGTCATTTCAAATGGAAAACAAGAGAACTCCTTTCACACATACAAGGACAGAAACATCCAAACTTTAAAATCCAAACTTTATATTAATTGTAATTATTGTGGTTGTTAGGACTTGGTTGTGGGCTGGGCTTCACATCTAATGCCCCAAAACTTATGTTAAAGCCCTCCACAAAACACACAGGCTGTAGCCTTCCATTGGCCCACTCAAATTTTCATCATATTTTATTTTTCTCTACATCTGTTGCTATTACCAACATTGCTTTACAATTCATAACACAATTTTTCGTAAAAAAATCAATCTTCGACTATAAAAAAAATTTCCCATTATTTTTTTAAAAAATAAAAGTTAAATAAAAGTGCTATGATTCGTTTAGAACCTTTTGAATGAAAATTGAAATGACAAAAAGCAATTTGCAATTTAATAATGCTGAAATTGTTTTAATAAGGAACAACCGAATCAACTTTTTTTTTTTTTTTTTTTTATTAACAAAAAGAAAAAACATAAAAATAAAATATATCTTGAATTTGATATTTCAAGGAAAATGTTATTTTAGACACAAAGCATCCCCAGTAATATAGATATAAATACACACATTTTATTCAAGTCTAATTTTGACCTTATGGAATGGTAACCTTACTATAAATCCTTGGCATTTGAAACTAACCTAAAGNAGTGTGTGCAACTTTTCCAAGTTTTATTCAAAGAATTAAACGATTACATTTTTTTTCTTCCAAAACAAAATTTGAAATTATTACTTGAAATTAAAATGGGATTTAAAGAATGAATTAATTTGAAGAAAGGAAGGAAAGTTGAAATTTGATATTAATATATAGATTGGGTTGCGATGATTATACACTGCGATTCCGAAAAGGATCTTAAAACAACCAAAAATTTACAGTCTGAATTTTATTCGATGTTCAGAATGAAACCCGAAAGCAACCGACGTGGTGGTGGTGGTGACGGCGGTGGAATGAATTTTCACGGTCAATCATGCCCTGGACGTGGCGGAACTCCTCGACGTGGCAAGGAATGGCGATGGTCCCTTTCTGATCGAATCCGTACTCCTCCTCCGCCTCCTTGAGAAGTTGCATGAAGCGCGGGTGATTGAAGTACATAACCGGCACCACAAATCTCTGCTGCTCTTCCTCCTTCTGCCCCACTCGGACCGCCAAGCAGCCTTTGGGGACGCCGGCGCCGGAGTGCTGGCGTCGTCTCTCTCCACCGCCCATCCCCAGGGCGATAATTAGGTGTATTAGTTGGTATGGGAAGGGAGAAAGGGAAAAGGGATTGGTAGAGAGGGAAATTCAGAGGGGGAAAGGCCAGGGATCAGAGGGAGAGGCATGGGGAATTAGGAGAGAAACAGAGGAGGAGGAGGAGGAGGCGGCGGAATTCGGAGAGACATCGGGAATGGCCATGCCTGAGTTGTGCGTTAATTACATTACGTTGCATTACAGAGAGAAAGAGAGGGAATTAGGGTTCGGTTATATAGGAAATTGGGAGTCAATTCAAAGCCGTAGAAAGTGGAAGCGGGTGTGGCCCTGTGGGTTCCCCCAAAAGCATCCACTTCTTTCATTTCCTATTTAATTACTATTCTTTCTAAATAATAAAATAATAATATTATTAAGTTTTACACAATAAATAAATCAACCAATAATTTTGTTTATATCCTAATATTTTCTTCCATTCTAATCAATTTTTTTTTATTATTATTATAATGTTAACCATATCTCAGCTAAATACAATATATTATTATTATTATTATTATTATTATTATTTTGTAATTAAATGAAATGTGAAAAGGTTGATGTTGGTGTTTTATTAGAGAGTCAACTGGTTTGTGATTTTGGAGGGAATAATAAAAGCTTTATTTATTTCACAAAACCAAGTTACCTGGTCAGACTAGAATTAATAGAATTATTCCAACATTTTAGTAAAATCACTATTTATTATGAAAATTAGAAAAATTAATTTTGTTTTATTATTTTCTTTAAAAAAAAATGAAGTTTCCAGACAGCCCAAAAAAAAAAAAAAAAGGAAAGAAAGAAAGAAAAAAGAAAAGCAGAATATTATAAGGCGCGTGGGTGCGTGGAGGAGAAAGTATTCCTTCAATTACTTATTGAATGGGGGATCTTGAGCGAGCAATACGACGGCGTATCGTAGAAGCAACAAAAGAGAAGACACGTGTATGGGAAGTGCGCATGTGGAAGGAAGGAGGACACGTAGATAAGTGGGAGGGGCCCACAGAATTGGAAGAGGCGACATGAGGATGAGCTGTCGTTCTGTGAAGGGCAGAGAGAGGGAAACGACAAGTCGACAGGTAATATTTAACATCCATATTATGGTCTTACTGTATTCGTCAACTCTCCTTCCCCTCTACGTAAGGATTCAATTGCTTCCACAATTAATTTATCTTCTTTCCCCCCACACCACAAAATAGCTTAAATTACCAACCAAATATATATATATCCAAAATTTATTAGAATATTGAATAAAAATAGGGATTATGGACAGCAATTTGATATTTTTGAGTGAGTTAACATGTTTCAAGTCTTAATTTGTATCTAAACTTCCTGAGAATTTTTACTCTAATACTAGTGGGTTGTGTTGATTAATGGTATTGGTAGTACATCACACTTTAGAGGAAGAATATTATGAATTTGCGATGAAGGCTTGGTGGTAAAAGCATCTTAAATAAGGAGGATTCTTTAAAGATTGAAATGGGCGACCAAATCAAATCAAACCCATATATATATAATTTCTAAATTATCACTAAACTAAAAAATTTAGAAATTCGAAGAGATTATTATAACTAACAAAGATATGGAATGGGTTTGGTATATTTGGTTGAATTTTTAATGAGTGAATCTTTCTTTTAATTTTATTTTAAAATCACAGATATTTTCTTTTGAGGACATCCACTCAAGTACTATCAACTACTTACTAAACAATTTTTATTTATTTATTTATTTAATTTAATTGATCAGAAATGGTGTTACTTCTAGTACAAATAAAGACACGTTACAAAAAAAAAAACTCAATTTCATTTTTTTTTCTTTTTTTTGAGAAAAAGAACTAATTAAGACTGATAAATTTTGTTAAGGGGCTATTTGTTTATGGTAAAAATTAGAAAGAAAAGAAAGAGCACTAATTAGGAATTAAGAAAAGAACAATAACGATGTTTGTTGAAAATTATGGATTCGTTTTTTTTTCTTTTTTTTCTCTCTATTTTACTTTGTTAGTGCTATTTGGAATTGCAAATTTATTGTGATTGCTTAGTTTTAGTAATGGACATTTTCTTAGGCGTCTAATAAAATAAAATAATCATTAATTTAGTAATGGACATAATCTTATCCAAAAAAACAGAGAAAAATAATATTTTATAATAATGGGATGTTCATTTTCTAAAATGAAGGAAGGTCTTTGGGAGTGCCCAATAAGCTTTTGACCATTTTGGGCTAATAATGGGTCAGATGTTGGGCTAGGCCCAATTAACCTGAGGATATCGTTTCAATCAGGATAATTAGACCAGCTAAAGGTCCAGTCCAACTTTTGAAATTTATTTATTTTTCTAAATCAAAAGTGTTTTGTTACTAAGCACCAATAGTAAAAAGAAATGTAGGAGACGAGTTTTTTAAAAAGCATTTTCAAAAGTTTAAAAAAAAAAAAAGAAAAAAAACTTTTTTTTTATTGGAGTCACAAATTTCCAAAGACAATTCTACCCCTCCTGAGAGGGGGCGGCCTGCAAACTTTTTGTTGGAGAAGGGTACCTACAGCACATAGTCCTACAACTTCAAAATTTGACTTTTTACCTTTTCAATGAACTCTCTCATCATTTTCAAAATCCAAATAGTACCAAAAAAAAAAAAAAAAAAAAAAAAAAAAAAAAAAAAAAAAAAAAAAAAAAAAAAAAAAAAAAAA